AAATAGAGCCAAAACATTATATTGATCTTTTCAATTTATGTGGATCAGTGGATTATATTAAGATTTCCTTTTTAAGATAGAAAATTGGGTGCTGGTTCTGATAAAGCAAAGATCCACTGGGCTGTACTAAAGATGAGGATGAAATAATCATTTTCTACCATGTTCTAAGTGCTCATCCTCAGGATGTTATTTCTCCTTAACTGTCCTTTTGTTCCCCACCAAAATAACAGAATAACAGGGAGGCCCATCAATTTGACCATTCAGAGTCTGGCCCCACCTGCCCCCTAGCCTCAGCTCTTGCCCTTGTTGCAACCCTACTTTTAAGAATTTTTCTGCATGTAATGCTTTTTGTCACCACCTCTTCCAGCCTTTCTCCCATTCACTGGTGACCACCTCATTCCGGACCTAGCTGAAGCTCGCTCAGCCTTTCTTTGTGAGATGGGAAGTGACTCTCATCGTTACCACCAGCTATGGTCTCTGTGTCCTGTGTCTCTCCTGTTAGCCATGCTATGAAACTTTTCATTTATTTTCCAACGCATGTCATTCCGGCTCATGTACTTACAGTATTTTTGATAAAAGAAGATCTTCTCCCCCTGTTTTGTTGTTTTTAACAGTAACAAACTTAAAGAAAAGTCCTGGGCCTGGGATTTAGCTCAGTGGTTTTGCTGCCTGCTGCGCAAGCGCAAAAACCGGAGTTCGATCCCCGGTACCAAAAAAAAGAGAAAAGAAAAGTCCTGAGTACAATACAAAGAGCTTTTTTTGCTGTCATATTTGAGACATGTTCTTAAAATAATATCCAGTAACCCCAAACAATTTAGTGTGCATTCTTAAAAGGAACATTATTTTCTTTTGCATAACTGTATGACAGTCATAAAAATCAGAAAATTCAGGTTGGGGATGTGGAATCCTTCAGTGGAAGAGCGCTTATCTAACGTGTGAGGCCCTGGCTTCCATCCTCAGCACTCCCTAAAAAATCAGAAAATTGATGTTCATTTTGATACAATACAACTGTAACCCTTGCATTTCTCTTGCTCAAGTTTTTTAAAATAATAAACTTCAGTATCAACATTGCATTTATGTGTCATTTCTCTTCAGTGTCCTTCAGTCTGCTTCTGTTCCTCAGTATTTCCTAGGCCTCTATAAACATGACAGTTAGTCTTTTTAGAGAGCATCCCTCCATTTGGGTTTATCTGTCATTTCCTCCAGATGAGCTTCTGCTGCTTTGGCAGGAATGTGATAAGCATGGTGCTGTGTTCTTCTATTATACTTTCTCGGGTAGCACAACATTTCAGTTTGTTCCATTACTGGAGTAAGTTAGTGTCCCGAGGCTTCTTCCTTTTTTCCTTTGTAATTAACAAATACTTTGTGAAGAAATAACATTGAGACTATGGGAATAACTCCATCCCTCATCAAACTTTGTTTCATTTATTTACATCAGAATTGACTCTTGGTTTCCAGTTTTAGTATAACTTTTCTATTGTTATTTGTTTTACTGTTCAAATTGTCACAGATTTTGTTAGTGGGAACCCCTCCTTACTAGCTTTTATGTCCTCTTGATATGTCCAGATGCGTGTTGACCACAAAGCATTTCCAGCTCCAGCCTTGGAAGCTGACATTTCTCCCAGGAGCCTTGGTTCCTTTTAGTAGATAATAATATTTAGAAACCAAGCTTTGGGCACTAAGTGTGCTCATTGTAATTGGGGTATCTCTGCTTCCAGGGCTTCTCAGTGGCTAAACCAAGAGAATATATGTGTACATATGATCACTATGTGCATACTTGTATTTCTCTTTCTTTTATCTATCCCTTCTACTGACTGAACACCATAATTTCACATCAGGGGCCATGTGGAGAGGAATCCTGCTGTACTATCTGAGCTCTTCTAGGTCTAAGACTTTGGATGGCCTCACCCAGAACAAAAGCCCTTCATCTGACTGTCACGAATGGAGTGAGGGAGAACCTGGAACAGTCACATTAGTCATGGTTGGTGAGAGAAGCATGGATCCAGGGTCATGCCTGGGAAGCAGGTCACTCCCCTTTGAGGTTTTTCCTCTCTGCTGGTGGGGTCCTGGCCATGATGCTCCATTTCAGTGTTCTATCCAGAAATTTAAGTGCTTGCAAAAGGTTCCCAGATCCTCCCACCCCAACATTTGCTTTCTGTTGTCTATGTGTGTCTTTTCCCAACTAGTACTGTGGCCTTCTTGAATGCAGGGACTCCCTGTCATTTTGGCCCCAGCTTTGGATTGAACCAGCATGCAGAGGTCCTTGTAGTGAAGATGCAAGCAGTTATGTGAAGGTAGCAAACACAGAAATAGCAAAGAGGTTTGGGACCCTTAGGTGGCCAGCGAAGAACAGCCTAATGGAGTGTTTATTTCCTGTCTCTGATTGGAAAGTATTGTTGACTCACTGATGACAGACATGCACAAAATGGACTGGAGGCTCCATGTCCTCACCTGCAGCCTCCAGGCAGCACAGACCATGGTGCCAGCACTAATGAAGCAAGACCGGAAACACCACAAGACAAAGCTCAGCTGTGAACCCTGGCCTCCCAGCCGGGAAACAGAGAGAGACCCTTTGAAGAAGAAGACAGCTGGGTTTTGGTTTCAGACCTTAACACTGCCATCACTAGATACTCATCTGTCAACGCACAGAGGACAACATGTGGGGAACAGTTGTGTCCAGTCAGGCTGAAGGAAGAAAGAAATGGCTGGTTTCCAGGGTAGCTGTAAAACTTCTCCAGCCAGTGGTTTTGCCTAGCGTAGCCAAAAAGAATTGATTTGGTGAGGCAGGGGCTGAGAGTGAGAAGCTGAGCTGTCCTCTGTGGGCCAGGTGGTCATCTTCCTTGCCATGTCACCTTCCGTCAGCTCACAGCAAGTGAGATTGTTGCGGCTGGAGGCTCTGTGCCAAAGTCATGACAGTTGGTTGAACATAGTTGTCTAAAGCTACTTCACTATACTGCACTGTGGTCCTGAACCATCGGCGAAGCTAACCTGCCCTACCACACTTCATCTAGTTTTCCTAAAGTGAACTCAAATTCACTTTCATTTACTTGAGGCCAGTATTTCCTCTTCTTGGCTTTTTCCCTTCCCTCTGGCTCCCAATTGCTGATTTTAACTAGTGGTTATTTTCCTCTTAGAAAAAGAAAGATGTGTAACCCTCGGTTGAATTTGTTTACTAAGAATCCTCTAATCTGTGCAGGAGTTTTCTTCTGAGGGGATTTCTTGTTATACTCTAATGGCTTTTAACTCGCTGAGGTTTACTTAGCAGAAGAGGAAGGGAGACGTTATCTCCTGCCTAATCCCTCTTGAATGTTTACATTTTTCTGCAGAGTCACACGGACAGTGGAGAGCAGAGCACGGCAGCCATTTGCTGTAGTCCATATGTGGCTGCCAGAGCTGATGGAAACATATTAACATAAGTGATAATACTGTCATAGAAGTGAAAAGTTAAGTTGCTTATCAGTATATTTTGATAAGCTACTTAAATTTTACAGTAGCATGTGCTGGCTTCAGACAGACGTCACTGATAGGGGATTGTGCACTTTATCTGTCCTCTCTATTGCTTCTCACTTCATTTATTACCCTCAGCAGTGCAGCCAGAAATCTGTACAGGGTGCTGATTCCCTCTCTGGGCAGGATATCACATGTGTTCTCTGCCTTGGGTAGAGCTCTCTATCAGAAATGGACACATTAGCTCAGCAGTGCAGACATGAGCAAGCAACAAGCACTTGGTATAATGCTTCTCACATACCTGTTCTGTGTAGCTTTGGGAAAGTTCCTTAGAGAAAATCAAGCTGTTTAAAGCAAGTGACAAAACTTCTTGGAAGCAGAGATGCTTTTCAGTGATTTTCCATGGCACAAAGGTGACTTTCTCCTTGGTCTTTGTCTATTTGTTGGGTAAACACTGACCATCAGCTGCATGCCAGGCTCCGTTCTTGACACTGAGAGACAAGGGAAGGAAAGTGTGCTCCTTCCTCTCTGTTTGCGCACAGTCTGTGGAGAAGACAGGACCATCCTTGAGTGCTACATCATGTAGGGAATATTATACTAGGTGTATGTGTGTGACCAAGGAAGCACAGAAAAGAGGGAATTAGGGCATGTGAGGCACAGACAGGGAAGAGGTGGGGTCCTGATAGGATGAGCAGAAATCAACTAGACTAGACCATGCAGGTCTGGGGAGAAAAGGGTTGAAGTGTGCTAGCTCAGGCAAGCTGATGTTCCTGGAATGAGACTGCCATGAGAGGAGCAGGCACATGACCAAGTAGAAAGAGATAACCAGAAAGGTGGTCAAGGGCCTGACAAGAGCCTCAAAAGGCATCCTAAGAAGTGCCAACTGCTCGATCCCATAGTGATGGGACACCACTGCAGAGATTTAATCCAACATGTGAAGCAGATTTGATTGTTAGAAAGGCCAAAGAGTCACACAGAGGATGGACTTAAAGTCAGCAGCCAGGCCATCTTGCAAGTCTTGAGAAGCAGTGGTCAGGACCTGGTGCAAGGCAGTGGGGATGAAGAGTTAGACAGTCATCTTGCAGCCAGTATAGAGTAAGTGCAGGAGAGGTACATGGTCTGAAGTACCAACAGGAGTGGTTTGGGGTGCCGGAGGCCTATGGGACACCTTGCAGGTACCTTCAGCTGTTTGTGTCCAATCATGAGAATTGGATAGACCCTGTCCTGGGGATGGTAGGTATGGTAGGAGAGGCCTGGGATCCACTCAGAGGTGGCCCTGATTGCGGAGTGTGCTTTGAATTTCTCTGTGAACCTGATCTAGCTCTGAGGGATGGGAATAATTCATAACGGACATTCACTCCTCTGCCTCACACAGGCAATTTTTTAAAATCCCCAAAATAGTTAGCGTTTTGCCCATCTGTGATTCCAGCACAGTCTATGACAGGAAAACTTCAGGATATAGAGAAAAACCCAAATGTATCTGTCTTGAGCTGGATCCTGATTCTGTTTTTTAACTTGCATGCTAATATTTCTGTTTTTTCTTCTTCCCTCAGCTATCTCCCATGGTTCGAGATATTTTATAAGCTACTTAACATCTTGGCAGATTACACAACAAAAAGACAGGTATTTGCCTTTTAAACATAATTCCTTTTAACAAGTAAACTTTAATTTTTATGATTATGAAAGCAGTACATGTGTTATATTTCACTAAAACATTTACCAAAAAAAATGCTCATTATAGAAAGTGGGAAATTCAAAAAATAGTGGGAGGAAAAAGAAAATCACCTTTAATCTAGTCTAACCCTGCTCTCTTCCCTAAAACAAATACTGCTAGTATTGGGGTTGTTTTCTTCCCTTATTTTTTTTGAGTTAAAGAAATAATAAATAGACCCTTAGCATTCATGGAGTTAGTATTCACAAATGACAAGCAGCCCTGAAAGTTCATGGCATGAATGAAACTGTATTTTGCTGAGGTGCTGATTTGAATTGCTCATGTCATGCTGCAAATCTAGGGTTTGCAGGTGATATACTTAATGCTAGTTAAGTGCCCATCCATCTGCCCGAGTTCCCATTTTGATAAAGCTTTGTGGTGTTTTCACAGTCCGGATGTCTAAAAGTTACTTTAAAAATTCAGCTGTACCTAATTGTACTTTTGGAAGAAATAATATACTAAGATCTCATCCCTGGATGACAGAAGTCAATTGGACCATATTCAGACTTTTGTAGCCCATATTTTCCGATACCATTATAATAGAATCATTTCTCCCATACTATTAAAAAATATAAACATTTGTCATGGCTACATAACATCACATCATGTACCTAGACTAACAGGAACAGTTTGGCATTAGTGGGCATTTTAATTATTTGGGATTTTTTTTCATGATTATAAAAAGTACAGCCATTAGCATCTTTGAACATAAAGCATTTCTTCATTTGGCTTGTTTCCTTAAGAGGAGAATCCCAGACAGGCAATTGTTAACTTGGTGGATATAAAAATTTTTAAATTTTTAAAACATTGGCCAAACTGCTTTCTAAAATAATTGTATTATTTCTTGAAAGATCCCTTTAACAGCAGTGTACAATAGCACCTGGGTCACAATACTCTCATCACATCATTTGTTGAACACACTGTTTATTTGACAAGAAGTCTCATTGTTTTAACTTCATTTCTTTGATTATGAGTGAATTAAATATTTGTCCATGTATCTAATTTTTTACATTCTTTTCTTGTAAATAGCATAGGTTTTATAGTTAAAGTGATCTATTGTGCATACTAAAGAATTTTTTTCATTTTTTTCCTATAGAACCCAAGTTCTGAGGAATATTCCATTTTTTAAAAAACTGTAGTTCATTATTATTGGGGTTGAAAGGAGTGAACGCTGTGTTTCATTTCTCCTTAAGATTCATACAATGTAGGCTCTGAGAAGTCCTACAAGAAAGAAACCTTTGTGACGCAGTGCTTCCCCTATCATTTGGCCCCAAGGCTTTTTTATTCTATGGCAAATAATATTCTGAGATAGCTGTATTTCCTGAAACACACTTTGGGAAGTGCTGTTTTGGAGGAAAGGTGGAAATTGTATGATATATAAATCTAGTCTTTAAGTTAGATTTACTCCCGATTAGGTCACAGTAAAAGAAAAGAAATCTAATAGAAATGGAAATAGTTCCCTTGATCACTATACTCACTCTGAAAGTTTAGCTGGCAGGGATTCCATCATAAAGAAAGTAATTTACTCTTTGATAAATGAGTTAGAAAGTTGCCTTGGGTCTGGTCATTGATTTTTGATTCACAGTTATCTCTAGTCAGACATTCAGATTTTTGCTCAAATTTGAAAAGTATCTCTAATAAATAAAATGTAGGCTCTTAACAGATTTTGAATTAGAGATTGATTCACAGTTTTCTGAAAAACAACAATAGAACTTAATGTACTTTTAAAAACATATCTTATGATCAGGAAACATTGCATCGGTACAACATAGGAATAGAGGAAACCAGATTATGACCCTGTAAAATAAGTTCACTTTTCCTCTGGGCCATTCCTCCAGCAAGGCCTCTGCCTCCTGGCATGTTGGAAGCTGTTTTTGTCAGTTGGAGCCTATTTCTCCTGAAGCCATGACTCTTTATGAAGTTTCTTCTGGTTGCAGAAATTATGACAGAGATGGTAGAGAATTTGTCTACAATTGGCAAGTTTGCAAGGTGTTGGCCACCAGATTAGAACAAGAGGAAACAGTTTGCGTTTTAAAAAAATAGAATTACCTCCCCCTCAAAAACCCCAGACTTCTCCCATCCACAAGTCTTTGGGCAAGTTGGGCAATATAGGTTTCTCTTTCAGAGTGTTTGTGCATGTGTGTCTGTGTGTGCGACCGTGGCAGCTCTGCATAGGGTGCCCTGGTGCCCGGCGAGTTATCATCCCCTGAAAGGGACCTTGAGGGCATCCATGTAGAAAGAATAGTAAGACAGGAAGGTGTCTGAGCCAAATAGCTGCCTGTTCAGGGTATGGGTGCCCAGATCCTGGCTTCTTAAGTGCCCCACTAAAAGGAACCAGGGCTCCTTGAGGAAAGGGCTGGCTCCAGTGCTGGGCCAGGGAAAATAGAGGATGACCCTAAAATATCTTTTGTACCAAAAAGTAGGAAGTGCTCAAAACATGATAAGGACCTACAAGAAGGAAAAAACAAGTTTGAAGGACCAAGGTGTTTCCACTGGTCCTATCTGGTAGCATTAAGACAAGTCATGGAGGGGCTGGGGATTTAGCTCAGTGGTTTCGCCGCCTGCTGCACAAGCGCAAGGACCCGAGTTCAATCCCCAGTACCAAAAAAAAAAGGCAAGACAAGTCATGGGCCAGGGATGTAGCTCAGTGGCACAGTGCCTTCCTGGCAAGTGTGAGGTCCTGAGTTTGATCTCCAGTACCAATAAAAGAGACAAATCATAATAGCAAAGAATTATAGCCAACTGAATAAACCAAAAACCAAGCACCCAGTGCAATATAAATGAGTAAATGGATAAATTGAAAGTTTGAGGAATGAGACATTTACATTAAGTATCACTCCATGAAATAATAAATACAAAGGGAGTCAACTCACAGTAGAAATACCAGACGAATTAAGTGATGAAAGCAAATGTCAATAAAGAAACAAATTAAAATTTGAATCATGAAAAAATATAAGATAATTGAGAATCAACAAAATGGGTGAGCTCATTTCAATGTTATGACAAATCTAGGAAGGACTGAGGAACTGTTCCAGACAGAAGAAAACTAGAGAGAATACAATCTAAAGATTAGATGGTAATGCTGCGTGAAGGTTATTTTTCTGATCATGATAATTAACTGTGCTTATGTAGGAGAATATCATGTTTGTATCTATGAATGATGTGGCATAATGTCAGCAACTCATTCTCGGTTCAGGAAGTGAAAAGCTTTTTATACCATTTCTACAACTCTTCCACAAATTTGAGGCTGTTTTTCAGAGCAAAACTAAACACAGATGCCCACACCTGTAAGTTCATGTGCTCTGTGAGAAATTTGATTGTCAGAGTTCAGATGGAAACAAGCTTATAGTCTGGACTCATCCTCTTTTTTCTTTTTAAGTTCACCTCCAAAGGCAGAGAAGGTTCTGGGATTGAACACAATAAACGTGCATTTTGCCCCAGGCTGTGCACCTTAGTGTTTGATGTGAGACAAGTTGCTTCACTTTTCAGAGGCTCAGTCTTCATATCTGTGAAACGGGGTAGTTGGGAGGATCAGATACATAACAAATAGATACCAATGTAAACTTATTACTATTATATTAACACAAAGAATTCCACCAGGTGGGAGAAATGCCTTTTGAATCATTCTATGATCAGTGTTCTTTTGAGCATTTTAAAGGCGAATCTGTTTTCAATTGAATAATTTGTACTGCTTTGTATGTCATTCTGTTGCTCAGTTCTACTAATTAAAATGCACAACCACCATCCTATATTGTATAGTGGTGAACTTAGTTCATTTCTAACTTTCCATAATTGGAGACTGTCGTGTGTACCCAATGAACACTTGATAAAATTAATTGAGGGTAATGATGATGAAGACAAGATCCACATTGCCATCATTATTTCTCTCAACCACCCCCGCCCTGGAAGCTCAGATTGTTTGCATTTAAAAGCTGTTGCTATGGAGTTGAGGGGATAGATTTGCTGAGAGCTTATGGTATATGATCCATAAAAGGCGGTCATGGTAGGTGTCTCGCTGAGTAGAAAATGTCAAACTCAGTGTAGGAGGATCTGTTTGGCTCTTATGTTTGAGCCATACGCAGAGTTTTTGGTCCAACCCTACTTGAATATCAAACTATTCCTGTAGCAGGGCTGGCCTCACCCACCCTCCCACTCATGCAGCCCTGCTCACTGTGTGCGCAAACCTACTAAAGGTCCAGCGTTGTGTTGCTACTGAGGCCTGCTATTTCTTTCAGGAGAGTCAGTGGAATGAACTTCTTGAAACTCTGCATAGACTTCCCATCCCCGACCCAGGCGTGTCTGTTCATCTCAGCATGGTAAGTAGGGCAGAAGAGAAGCCATCCTGAGAAAGCATTTTGTTATGAACACTCAGAGGGAATTGGCCAAATAGGAATCCCCTTTAGTCATCTGGACCTCTCCTTCTCCTACCCTGAGTACTGTGAGAACTGTGGGCTTATGGCAGATGAGGGGGACTTCTTCGTTACCCTAAGATTCCACGAGAAATGAATGGTCCTCAAATGCCCTTAGACTACTTTCCAGCCATCCTCTCTTCACCTGTACCTCCTTGAACACAGATTCTAGGTGGGAATAGGATGGCTGGCCCTGCCTGCCTCTTCAGCCCCTGTCCTGGGCTCCCTACTCACCCTTTGCTCCTGGTGCTGCTGCACATCTCCCATTACTGAAGCCCATCCTGCACCCCCAGCCTTCAGCCTTGTTTCTCCTTGTTTGCCAGGTCTCCCATACACATCCTGCAGAATCAACCCTGATTTTATTTCCAGAGAAATCCTAATTTGACCTTGAAGACTTAGCTAAGGCTTCTCTTAAATTACCCCAAGTACCTTTTATACTTTGTAGGAATTACTTTTACCATATTGGAATAATCTGTTTTCCTGTCTCCCTCACTGGACTGTGTGTCCCTTCAGTACAGAGAGTAAGAATGCTTAACATGGTTTCTGCTATACAGTAGTAATCATTTCTGAATGCTTTTAAATATATGCTGCTGCTGCTTCGGTACAACAGGGTGGAATTCCTCTGTACTATCTACTGGGAGATTTCAATCCTAGTTGCCTGTTTTGCCACTGACCCAGGTAACCTTAATCAAGACCTTTAACTTTGTGGGCCTCATTCTCCTCATCTGTTAGATAAAGCATCAGAAGAAGTTCAGGGGATATTTTCTATATTTCATTTACTGGAATTTTCTTAATTGTCTAATTAGAAGGCTTGTCACTACCTTCATCAAAATTCTCAGGTAGGCAGCCTTTCCAAGTGTCCATGATTATCCAGGACTTGTTTTTCTTATGTTGTGGGGCCTGAAAGTTTTCTCTTTCAGCTTTATTAGAACACAGCTTTATTAGGTCCAATGTTGATGTTCAGTGGTTAGGAAAATATCTATCTCCTAAGGAAAATTAATATTTCTTATGGGTTTCTCATGATAAAATTGAAAGCCATATTACTACCAGTAACTAATAACAGATCTACTGCTTTATTAAGTTTTAAATTTATACCAAATATGTATCTCTAATATTTAAAACAGTTCCACAAAATAGATACTAGCATTCTTATTTCATAGATAAACAGTTTAGAAAAGAAAAGGTACTTGCCCATGCCAATTCATATGGTAAAAAATGATAAGATCTGGGTTTTTCAACCCAAGGCTGGTTTCAAAACCATTTATTTTTCCATGATGCCCTGTGTTAAAAAGGAAAGAAGAAAGCTGGGCGTGGTGGCGCACGCCTGTAATCCCAGCACTCGGGAGGTTGAAGCAGGAGGATTACCATGAGTTTGAGGCCAGCCTGGGCTGTATAGGGAGACCCTGTCTCTAAAAACCAAAAAAAAAAAAAAAAAAAGGAAGAAGAAGAGGAAAGAGGAAAGACGGGTAAAGGGAGGAAAGGAAGAAAGGAAAGAATTTATAGAGGTTTTTGCTTATTTTAATAGAGCATAGGAAGGAAAGAAACCTTGGGTACAAAAATTCCTGCAGGCAAGGAGGTTCTATCTAGAAAAGAACAAATGAGCTTTAGTTCTGCCCTAGATATCACTAAAGCTAAGCAATCCTGCCTTTGTCTCTGTCCCTTTTCCTAAGCAGCTTGATCCACTGCTTCAGTCTGTAATGACATCAGACAGGTAGCTGTGCAGGAGCCGACTGGGTCACCAGCTGCTGGGGAGGAAGGGCCACTCCTTCCCCGAATGGCTGCACAGACAGTCTGCTACCAGGCCTCAAGGACAAGCCAGCTTGGGCAGTAGGAACTGTTGAGGTGTGCAGCTGTTTCATGCTAGTGGTTTCTAGGAATTTTTCTAACCTCCCCTGGTCCCCAGCATTTCATGGCCAATGGAGCAAAACGGAATCTCAAAGGACAGCCCCGGGACTACTCAGTTTTGGAATTGTATTGGCTCACTATTTACAATCCATTGCATCTGTAAAGGCAGATTTTTTTCGCCTTTCTTCATTATGAATTCTCTCCAAATTGAAATCCCAAAATGTTGATAAAATGTCAGTCCTGGACTTGGAATCTTTAGTCATTCTATAAGAGAATATTTCCATGTATCTGATATATATGATTGAGAAAAATAGAAATGCAAGCTAGCAGGTGAGAGCAAATAATAATTTTATATTAAGATATCATCTATTAAATAGTAGGTACTGCATATATAAAATGTTTATTCTTCACAACTGTCTTGAAGGAGGCATTATAGTTCCCACTGACAGATTCTAAAACTGAGGTTCTATGTTATTAAGTGAAGTTACCTGAGTTTACATAGCTACCAAGCGGCCGACACTTAAGAGAATTTTCCCTCTCACTTTGTTAGACCCTTACTTGGTGACTCCATCACTGTGTGGACATCTGGTTCTGAATGTTTCCAGAAGCTCTGTTTTAGGAATGTGGTATGAAATTGGTATCTCATGGAGTCACATTTGAGCCTTGTGCTTTACTTTTCCTATTCTAATCCTCATTGTTAAATTAATTAGTTTCCTTGCTGTACCATCTACTATATTTCATAGGTAATATTTTGACATAGATACATAGATTTTGGAATAATACATTGCAGAAGGTTTTATTTTTTAAAAATATTTAAAATTTTTTTTTTACTTTTTAGTTTGTTATTTTAATTCAAATTCTGTTAGCTGTAATTTGCACATAAAAAGCATGGGTATCATCTGTTATAGCGGACAGGGCATAGTTCTCATTGTACAGACCTGGTTTCAGTCCTAGTTTTGCCACATATGAGCTCTGTGACCTTTGAATATTTTACCTCTCTGAATGTTAATTTATCCATTTGTAATATGGTGATATTACAATTTATTATGGAGATTAGAGATAATATTTATAAAGTGCTTGTTGTGAAGTTCCATAAATTTCTGTTGAATATCAGACAAATATCTCATACTATTATTGTTATTGTCATTGTTGCCGTTGTTTCTAGGGCCTTTCATTTTTGAAAGCCTGTACATTCATTCTTCTAGGGCCCTACTTATTTTGTGGTTATCCAGAAATAAGTTGTAGGGTAAGACTTCTTAAAATGACATCTAGGGGTCCAGGTTTGACCATGGCCTAAGTTGACGTCTCTGCACAAGACTTTTCCAGGCCTTGCATGATCCCCTCTTTAATTGGCCATCACCAGGCTTTTTCCAGTCCTGCTTGCCATTATCCTCAGAGTCTTTAACAGTGGCAAAAGAGGTGTTATCAGTCCAACCTCTTGACATTTAAACTCAAGGACACATGCGTGATACATACATGAAAATGCCTCTTTGAAAGTCTTTGAAGAGGCTGATTTTAGACTCCACCAAGTGTCCTGCTCCCTCCACTGGCAGTCCCACTGGAGGTTAGGCTTATTCCCAGAGTGTGCTTCCTGCAGGGGTTCCCCATTATTAAACATCTGTACTGCTCTCAATGCAGTGATCCTTCAACTGGAGGTGCCCTTAATATTACTTGGGCAGATTTTGGCCACAGTTTATAGGTGGATATAATCTCAGATGCTAAAAGAAAATGACAGCTCTGGTTGGCAAAGACCATCACTGAGGCGATTTAGTGCTGTTTGGTCCCTAGAGCCTACTTGCATTGTTGAACAATAAGTTGTAAAACCTACAGCTTTCATGTGTTCAGAAACCTGCAAGTATCATAAGGAAATTTAGCCTTGTAACCTCTTCAAGTTCCTCATTTATACTCCCTGAAGAAGTTCATCTCTCTTACAAAAAAACTTCATCTACCAAACTGATGATTTAATCCAGCTGGTTTAATCCAGCACTGTGCTAAGAAAACATTCCATGGATAATTTCCTGGCAACTCTGTTCTCTTACTCTGAGTAAGGAAGTATCTTCAAATCATTTATCTGAATTCTGAGTAATATGCTTGCTATACGTTCTTGTAAGAAATATACAGCTTGTACTTTTCTTTTCCAGCATTCTTACTTTACTGTGCCTGATACCAGAGAACTTCCCAGCATACCTGAGAATGTGAGTACTTGGGAAAGAAGTGTTAAATTTTTTTATTTTCTCTGTTCTCTACTTCTTTTTTAAAAAATAAAAGGATACATTTGAAAATATAATTATAAAAATCATAATTTTTAGACAGATTACAAAAAGAAAAAGAAAAATATAAAAGCAGAAAAACAAAACTACTGCAAAGTATAGAGATCATAAAGACAAGGAAAAGATGTTATTCTTATTTTTCAAAGGTAATCACCTATTAACATATTGATATCTCATTGCCATCTTTTTCAAATATGTTTTTACCTAGTTACATTTGCCTATTACATGAACATTTTTTCTATTTTCATTTACAAGAATCATTTTTGCTCACTGTATAATATTCCATTTCCTGTGTAGTTTAGGCATTTACTCACTGTTGTATACTTAGGGTCTTTTTCTCATTTCTACTATTGTAAATAAAATATTTCTATATAAAGAAGTACTTATTTTTTGTTGTTTTTGTTTTTTTGGTACTGGGGGTCAAACTCAGGTCCTTGCGCTTGCACAGCAGGCGGCAAAACCACTGAGCTGAATCCCCAGCCCAGTACTTAGTTATTTTTAAAAATTGTGGTAAAATATATGTAGCATAAAATTTACTGTCTTTAGTTTTAAGTGTGCAATTCAGTGGCTTTAAGAACAGTCATATTTTTGTGCAGTCAATCTCCAGAACTCTTTATCTTGCAAAACTGAAACTCTGTACCCAATGAACACCTCGCTATTCTCCTTCTTCACCAGTTGGTGGCAACCATCATTCTACTTCCTGTCTGAATTTACTGATGTTACATACCTCATCTAAGTGGAATAGTAAAATATTTGTCTTCTTGTGTCTATCTTATTTCACTTACTATAACGTCTTCAAAATTCATCCACACCGTAGTGTGTGTCAGAATATACTTCCTTATTAAGACTTAATGATATTCTCTTATGTATGTATACTCACATTTTGCTTATTTATTCATCCATCAATAGACCCTTGGATTGTTTCCACCTTCTGGTTATTGTTGTGCAGCTTTGAACTTTGGAGTACAATTATCTGAGTTTCCACTTTCAATTCTTTTGGTATATATTTAATTTTCTTTTTAAAGTACTAGAATAAACTGTGTGGTTTTTTGTAACTGCTATAGATTCACAGAAAGAAAATTTTTCTAAGTTTATTATAGCAGAAAGATTAGAAATGTCAAGTAATTAAATGTAATTAATGAAGTTAGGCTGTAGCTTTGTGATCAGCTAACAGTCTTAATAAGTTGGGATTATCAAGAATATCCATAAAATTTATTATCTATATGATGAAACTGTGGTAGCAAATGTTGCTTCACTTATATTTGACATTAAGTAATAAAAAAATTCAACCAGAGTTCCCATTGCAACAGCAACAGCTAATGTTCCATTACTTGTCAAATGATGTACTCAGTGCTTTGCCTGTGTTTTCTTATTTACCTCTCTTAACAAGCTTAGGTGGTAACTACCATAATTATTCTTATTTTATATCAGAAACAGAAGCCCTGAGAATTTAAGATATTCAAAGACCTGCAACAAAGAAGTGGTAGAATCAGAATTCAAATGCAGGCTGATTTTCAAGTCTTGAGTACTATACTTTGAGCACATGATTTTTAGCTTTCATTTCTCAAAAATTCCATTGAAATGATAAAAGACATATAAAATTAAGGAGAAACAATGGTCCCGTTATGGCAGAGGAAGTCACTATGAACTAGAAAATTGGGGAATTTCTTAAGTATTTCTGAGCAATCACCAATGCTTAGCAGTCCGTTCAGTATAGACAGTGGAGGAACTCAAAAAGAACTGGGAAAGAAAATCTTGAAAGAAGACAGAAACAGAGGCAAAAGATTATTAAAAGACCAAACAGCTAAAGGCTATTAAAGCATAATTTTCAAATGTCATGGAACTTTTATAAAAATTTATCATACACTATTTTCTAAAAATTTCAAAATAGAATATACATTAAACACTGAAGGTCACTATCTTTTATTAAAGTGAAATAAAACTAGAAATCAATAAATTAAAGGTTCAAAAACAACCATCTGCGGGCCTGGGGATTTAGCTCCGTGGTTCCGCCGCCTGCCTTGCAAGTGCAAGTTTCCGAGTTCAATCCCCGGTACCAAAAAAACAAAAAAACAAAACAAAACAAAAAACCCATCTACTTAAAATGCCAACTGGATCATAGAGATTAAGATATTAAAGTTGGATATTGATTAGAAATTAATAACAACGAGAGCACTGAAGAACAAATACCCAAGGAATATGGTCAAAAATCACAAATTGATAGCTTTGAATTCCCTTTCCTCCACTCCTTATATTGGAATTGAACCCAAGGGCTTCACACTGAGCTACATCCTCAGCTCCTTTTTAGTTTTTATTTTATTTTATTGATCAGTTGATTGAGACAGAGTCTTACTAAGTTGCCCAGGCTGGGCTCAACCTTGTAGTTATTTTGCCTCTCTCTGCCTCTGCCTCCTAGGGTGCTACGATTACAGGTATGTGCCAGCAACCCCAGCTTTTTAAATGCTTTTGTAAAAGTAATGAACTTGAGTTTTAATTTAAGAAGCTTAGAAAAAGAGCCAAATGTAGTGGCACACACGTGTAATCCCAGCTCTGAGAAGCTGAGGCAGAAGGATAGCAAGTTCAGGACCAGCTTGGGCAATTTAGCAAGATGCTGTCTCAAAATCAAAAATAAAAAAGGGATAGGGATATAGCTCAGTGCAAAGACATTGGATTCAATTTTAAACTCCAGCAACACCAAATAAACCAAGCAAAAGAAACTAGAAAAAGAATAGCAGTTGGGCCGGGGATTTAGCTCAGTGGTTTTGCCGCCTGCTGCGCAAGCACAAGGACCCGAGCTCGATCCCTGTTACCAAAAATAAAATAAAATAAAATGAAGAATAGCAATAAAAAAACAAAACTAGAAAAAGGAATTGTAATTTTCCTTATTAGTAAATATTATTAAAGTAAAATTGAAAATCAAAACTTACTAAAAACTATTTTTGAAAAGAAAATAATGTTAAATTTATTTAATAAACTTGAAAATTGTGAACAGACAAAATTTTCTAGGAAAATATAAATGACTGAAGGCGACCTAAGATGTAGATAATATAAATACAGAATAATAACTTGGAAAGGCTAGTAAAATTCTGTTGCCATTTCCATCCTTGCCTCGACAGACATAGCAGGGTTTGTGGGTACATAGATGTGTCCAGGAAACAGATAATTATTACTTAAATAGTTCCAATTCATAGAAAACATATATGTATGTATGTGTGCATGATACAAAAAACAAATGGAAAGCCTTCACCATTTCAGGGAAGGTCGTGTTCTGAGTTTTACCATCCTTCGTCTTTATGATAATAGTAGTTTCCAATCTGTGCTGCTGGGAGCCCTGAAGATACTTTGGGGCCCCAGGAAGGCCTGAGGCCTGTTTTATTTAGAGCAGGTGAATTCCCACTGTTTGTGTTGCAGTTTAGGTAATGTTTTGTTTGAGACAAAATGGTTCCTTGATTTTCTTTAAAGTTTAGGAGTGACATATTTTTTAAAACATGTACTTGGCAATCATATCAAATACATTCATCTGCTTTTTATCATAACAATGTATTATGAATATTTGTGTAAAACTTCACAAAAATCTTTATTGGGTAAAATTAATACTGAAGTGCATGTTAAAAAAAAAGCAAGAAAAGCCCCCGTTATCACCATCCCTTCCTTGATCCCCTTCTCCCTTCAGAGTTTGATGAGCGCCCCTCCAGACCTTTCTGCGTGAGTTTACACACTATATGTGTGAGTTGTGCACACTTTTTAAACATAAATGTGATATTATTCATATTGTTATGCACTTTTTGGTTTAATGTATTCTAAAACCTGTTTACATCTACTCTGTTTTACCTTATTTAGTGTTGTTGTGTTTTGTTTTGTTTCATTTTGGTGCAGTTTGGGATCAAACCTAGAGCTTCACACTTGCTGGGCAGACACTCTACCACTGAGCTACATCCCCATCACTAACAATATTTTTATTGAAAGATACCTTTATTCTTATTAAAGTGTGATGTATATTAATGGCATGGAAAGTCATATAGTACCACATAGTATTTGATGAAAACCAGCAATTTCCACATTCTCTGTACAGTACCTCTCACTTCCCATATTTCTCATAGTGACTTCTAATACTTTTTAGTATTTCTGTATGTTCTGATTATTATTATTCATTTTTTTCCTGCTTGATATATCATCTATTGATTTTCTGAATGGAAAATGTAAGTTCAAGTTTTTATCACCTCTGATTTCCTTCTATAGAAACACACATGCACACACAATACTTTCTTTCATTTGCCTATTTCTCCTCTCCCATTTTTCCTCTAATTTTCAGAAACATTTTACATTAAGTCAGTAATTTATGTTTACATTTTAATGAACATACGGAAGCAGGTACATTATGGATACATTTCCTTTCTTGTGTAACTTTTTGTCCTGCAAGACTTCTTGAATTTTATGTCTTCTTTTTCCTTGATTTTATTCCCTTAGTTTGGTGAAACATTCTTCAGTAATTTCCAGAGAAAGTATTGTATTGGAGGCAACATTTTTAGAACTCGGAAAGGCTGAAAATGATTTATTCTACTCCTGATAGCTTGGTTCCATATGGAATTCTAGATTGGAAATTTCTCTTCCTTCAGAATTTTGAAGGTGATATTCACTGATTTCTAGCTTTACAATGCAATTTAGAAGTCTTAGTTGTTCTAATTCCTGTTATTACTATTTTTTGATCCATTATCTTCTTGTATCCTAAAATTGCACAATAATGTGCAGTTCATTTTCATCCATTGCAGTGGGCCCTCTCTTATCCTATTCAGTCTAGAAACTGTGATTGATTCTTTGAAGCTTAGAAATTTTTTCACATTATTTCTTTGAACAAATTCTTCATTTCTCTTTTTTTCTATGGTTGGATATGTATCTCCTGTATTGACCCTCTAATTTTCTTATTC